AGCCACTTTTAACTAAATGTAAATAGACACCCCGTATTTTTTATTCCATAGTAAGGGTAATTCATACAATACATTTAAACTGAGCTACTTTAATACCATCTCTGAACTTTCTACCAGGACTCTGCTGTTCTTCAGCTGGTTCTTCCCTGTATAAGTTGATTGACAGATGTCTCGTCCAGTCAGCGGTGAGTAATCCCAAACCAATGGCGCTGTCTCAAACTATACCTACCTCTTCCGGTTTGTCTGATTTGTCGTTGTGTTTTCTGACTTGTTATTTTGTTTTCGAATTTGTCATTGTGTTTTCTGACTTGTTATTGTGTTTTCTGAATTGTTGTTGTGTTTTCTGAATTGTTATTTTGTTTTTTAGACTTGCATTTGCGTTTGTAATTTGTTTGTTTTCAGAATTGTGATTTGTTTAACACTTCTCGGCCACCGTACAGACGTGCGCTAGTTCGCACATTTCACACTTGAGAACCTGAGCAACCGGAATGTCTTGCGTGGTCGCTAATTAGGCTCATGTAAACACAAGGAGCTAGTAGCAATCACACACGTATTTAATTCTATCACTAATATAACACCCAGAAATACACTCTCATTAAGATCTTTAATGCTGTACTCACCGTTAGTTTATAATATCTGGATGGCCAGGTGTTAAAGTTGTCACTGCAAGTTTTATGCAGATTTCAGATTCAAGGATAGATTTGAAGTCAGTTGTGAATCGTGATGAGAGAGAAGGATAATGCACGCTGATGTGTCTTTCTGTTTATGCGTGAGACTGTCAAAAACCCACACCGGTTGACCTCATGAGGCTCACGCCTGCTCATAAGAGAGCCAATAATCTATAATGAGAGGCGCACGCACGCCCCCCAGCACTTCCCTCAAAACTCTCACGCGCCACCTGCCGTTCACTTGTATTAATTCCCAAATAACTCAAGCATGCTCTTCACTGACGCTGGTGTCTCCTTGGTAACCAGGTACACTAACTAAAACAACTTTATTAGGGGCGAAATTGCTCATTGTGGTGGAAATAGCGCCAAGACTGAGAAATAAGTTTCACACAATATAGTGCATTTTACTCTTTGTTTAGATCATTGTAGTTTTGAACATGCAAACATTCGTAATCGAAATAGTGTAAAGAACAAACGAAGACATTGTACAACGGTTCCAAGACTGTTTGAATTGGGTTTGTATATAATAATTACAATAATAGCGTTAAATAATCAAAACATCTATGGGACACACAGTACTCAAAGTTTAATAAAAAAAAAATAAAAAAATAAAAAAACTCAGCAAATTCAAGTTGGCTGTTGAAAAAGCATACTACTTTTATAATTTCGCCAAAAATGTACAGTAGATTGCCAAGAGAGGCATTTTAAACTTTTTTTTTATTTCAAGATGATAACTGGACACCATTTACTAAAAATTACACATATGTAATAAAGTGATATCCTCCTGGGACCTAGGCATAGACTTTTGTCCTCTGTAGAGGACATTATATTTTAGTGAATTTCTCTGAGAGCATACATGCCACAGTTTTAAGTCTGGATGTCCTGTACAAAGCACATCTCTTTTTTTTTAGAAATATCAAATGTTTGGAGGTTTGATCATAAATACTCCCTCTCCTTGGTCTTTAAATATGACTGATATTGACAGAATGGTCAAATCTAGCGCTCTTAGGGAAATATGATAATGTTTTGTAATTATCATTTAAATCTGGCTAATTTTCAAATTGTTCGTCGTAAATAAACATCTCAGAAAAATGTTATAGGGTTTAAAATCAGAATATGACTATTTGTTACGAAACAGGGCATCATTTTCATACATGTAGTATAGCAAATCATTAAGTTGTATCTTTCATAACATAGTTAAGAATCATCTTTGTACATCTGGCTAAAACAACCTGAAACCTAAAAACTGATTGGTGAATGAAAAATGTTTTTTTGCCTATACATGCCTTTTCATGTCTATTTTATTTTATTTTATTTGAATAACTTTATCCTGGCGTCCTCTACAAAGGACAGAGGATTAAATATCTTTTTTCAAAAATGTTTTTTTCTCCATTTGTTTCTTATGCTCCAACCATTGTACATACAGGTAAAAAGAAATGTATAGCCTGAATGCACTGTAAGTCGCTTTGGATAAAAGCGTCTGCTAAACGCATAAATGTAAATGTAACCATTGTAATGACATAAAAAACAACAAAATTCACAAAACATTTTTTCTGGTTCTCAGGAGATAACAATAATGCAATATAATGCTGTTAGAAATTAGTTTATCACCGAAAGGTTTAAACTACTTCACATAAATAGTTTTAAAATAGTCGGCCATATACAGTATGCAATACGCTTATATTTCTTTTGAAACAGCAATCCCCTCCTGATGAGGACAAGTGTGTGCATATACCGCCACCAAGCGGTGATTTTTAGGAACTACGCATGACATCATGACAGTTCTAATGAATGAACTTAGCAACGTTAAGTTTCAACGTTTATAGATTGTACTACCGTTTATAGAGTTGCGTAGTTTAGATATTACTTTGTAAATGTATTACGTGTACTAAAGTATCCACGGACTAGCCAAGCTTTGTTTTTTTGTCCTTCTCTAAATTGGGAAGCCATGCGGAAAGAAGTGTAACGTCTCGGTCGTTTTACCACCTTTATCTGGCAGTTAGCGCGGTAAAATGACAACGTTTTGGCGGAGAAGAGCAGAATCGAGGCGCGTTTGTGCGCCTCTCCCCGCGGGAATCAAACATTTACCGCTGGTGCTCAGCACAGAACGCGTTGGGAGGGGCTCGAGGATAGCCCCTCCCCCTTTCGCTTTTTAGCCCTTGACGTATGAAGAGGACGGTAGCAACAGTTGCCTCGAGACCCTCGCTCGCCATAGTGACTGTAGTCGTGGAGACAGTTACTTACCAACGGGAGCAACACTCAGCAACAGCAGCAGCAGCAACAGCAACTGGAGGAGAGAGAGAGAGGGAAAAGAACAGTAAAGCCAGGGCAGATCTAAGCAGAAGGCTGAGGTGAATATCTTTTTACTGCTTAGAGAAATCAAAATGATTTGAATGTACATTTAACGGGCCATGGAGGTTGAGTAATGTACATCTTGAAGTGTTCTCATGCCCTGATCTCCTACGCTGTCTATTAAGAGTCACACTAGCACGCTAGTTGGTTAGCTCATCTGGTTCGCTAACTTCAGTCAGTTTGTTTTGAGATCGGTTTGTACGCTTAATGCCATTCGTGTGGGTCATTGCGTCTGTAAGATTAATATGTTAAATTACGAGCTAACTGGCTAACTGTTACCGTAACTAGGTAAACTTTATTCAAAAGCTGTAACTGTTTGAATAACAGCGAGATCTGTCATAGGAGCAACTTAACCGCTTTGTTCCGCCGTTGCTTTGCTTCACGAATGGCTTTAATTCTCGTGGAAGTGCGTGAGCTGATTCGGAGATACTGATGTGGACCCGCCTGTTCGGTTTGACTGACCGAGTAGCTCAAGTTAAATGGGTTTAATTGTAATAGAAATATGTGTGATACATGTCGTGTTTTAGTCCTGTCATGTTGCTTTTGGTCTGGAAGCTTCAGGTTGGGATGCGTCAACAGGTTGCTGAAGTCAGTCTGAAGAGTGGTGCCCGATAAAAGTGATGCATTTCGGATTATACGAGCGACATCGGCAATACGGACTTTACAAAGTATTCAGAGGTTATTTAGATGTTCGTGTAATTTATTAGATGCAAATATATTTCCCCAATTTTGAAGGAAATTGAATTTAGCTTCTTGTCATCCGGTTCAAATCCGATTCTCTTATCTGCACTAATATGTTGTGCTGGCTGTTGTTAAAGGGTCAATGACATGGATCTCGTTTTTGTCCGAATCTATTATTAAGTTATTCAGAAATACAATAAAAAATGCCATTTTAAACAAAACTGACTTCAGTACACCATTCGAAAATGATCAAGTCATTCTGATATAGTAGGTGCTGTATCTGACATAAAGCTCATTCTGATATAGTAGGTGCTGTGTCTGCCTGGAGAAAAAGAAATCATGAAAAAGATGACAATTCTGGAAAACGTTTGTCACTTGTTATGATATTTTCTTGCTATTTCATAAAAAAGTAGTTAAGTAGTTTTGTTTTAAATACATTAAAACATTACTAATATTTGAAATATTTTGAAAAATCGACCCACTTTTGAACACCATGTTGGTGTGGTTAGGGTTGTCAACCTGCAGGAAGTCATTTCATTGTGTTGTTATGTGACAAGAAAACCATAAATCAGAGAGAGGACCCCTTTAGACCTTATTGACTCTTTGTAAAGGTCATTACAATAAATAAAAAAATAAATAATGCATGTCCAGTAACTCTATGAAAACCTCTTAATATACATGTCTTGTTTTATGGTATTTGTATCATTAATTATGTATGTTAAAAAATGTGTATTTTTTTACCATTAAAAAATGTTTGAAAATATGAAGTAATTTTATTGCATTTTAAATCATTTTATTCTTTTTTTTGTAATTGAAGTCCTTCAGCATTTGTAGAAAATGCAGTTTTAAGTTTATTTATCTATTTTACCAACATGCATTGCATGCAGAACTAAAATGCATGCAGCTACATTACAAATGGTCCTTTTAATAATTTTGGGCATTCTTATTTGTCATTGACCCCCAAAACAACCTGCAGATCATATTTTAAACAGTATACAACAAATAAACAGTACAGTTTATGTTTGATTATATTATATTTCCTATGCTTCATACTCCCACATTGTGATATTAAAAAAATAAAATGTCACTGTTTTACATGGCATTTCCAAATATAATCTAATCTATGTAATCTTTCTTGTTTTTTTTTTCCTTTAAATACATGTGTGTATTTTCTCCACCTTTTTAAACTATGTTGTAAGTAAGAAGAGCTGAGTGTCAGTGATGTGAAACACTGTACTGTTAATTGTGAGCAAATGAGATATGTATTTGCATTATCCTCATAATGAGATCAGGGGTGGCTGTTGACGCAAACAGTTTGCCAACAGCTTGACTGTGCTCATCCAAAGCTGCTGTAATTTTTCTAGAGTTGCATCGTGTCGCCGTGGCGATGTTACACCTGCTCAGCAGAGAGCTTGGTAATGAGCTCTCTTCATGACAATAGCATGCGGTCCAGGTGTCGCCCCTCATTGGGCTGTGCTTTTCTATTGATCTCTCTTTAGCCGAGAGTGTCCATGCCACTGAAAGTGCAGCTGATAATGAGGGTAATTGGCATAGAGAGAGGCAGATCCTGATGCAACACACAGATCATGTTGGCCGGCCCGTTCCTCACTAGCCAACATCATGCTTGCTTGGGTGGTTTTGATTTTTTCACCATTTCTGTTTCTGCAGCAGCGGTTCGAGGATGTTTGAAATGAGGCGTTTTTACTTGTCAGAGTGGGAGTGTGTTTGTCGCTGTGTGTGACTGGTCCCTCCTGAGCTCAGCTGAAGGGGGTGAGCAGCAGTGCTCACATCAGCTGCCGACGTGTCTGTCAGGTGCTTCACTGAGCTCTGAAATCTTCCCCAAACGCATCTTCACAATGCGACATCTCCAAAGCTCTAAGATCCGGTGTCTGTAATGAAATATGTTGTTACAGGTGCATGTCCAGGCTGGTGGAGAAATGAATGATTCATGTAATTGAAGTTAATTATTGATGGGGCCAATCGCTGCTTCCTGGGCTGTGTGATGTCCAGTTAGCTCGTTTTTGCGGGGTTTGGTTTGCAGTTTGCATGCTATGCTCCTATAGGCCAGACCTGCCCTTATCTGAGTGTGGGATGGTAGACTACACTTTGTTTTTGACATGACTGACTCCACAAATTAGAATTAAGGAATTTCATTGTTTAAATGTAAATTGCTGCTTTAACCCCAGTTGGTAAATTTGGATGCAACCCAGGGCCAAGGGCCCCTGTAACAGGAGGTGTGTAATTTCTGTGCCTCCACATGGAATGCAAAAAAAAAAAAAAAAAAAATGATCTCCAAACAGGTTTCCCAAACACTCCTTCTGCCGCCCATCTGTTATTGTTCAGGTAGATAGTCCTGTCCAAAATTAACACCACTGGTTCAGCCACACACTACCATTCAAAAGTTTGGGGTCAGTAAGATTTTTTATTATTTATTTATGTTTTATTTTAAATAAATGAATACTTTTTTTCCAGCAAGGATGTATTACATTTCAAATTGATCAAAAGTCACTTTAAAGACATTTGTAATGAGAAAAAAATCCTAAATAATTACGTTTCAAATAAATGCTGTTCTTTTCAACTTTCTCTTCAAAGAATCCTAAAAAACGTATCACAGCTTCGACAAAAATATTAAGCATGACAGCTGTTTTGAACATTGATAATACAACACATTACATTTTAAAATGCTAAAATAAAATACAATTTTTATTGTAATAAAATATTTTAATAATAAATAAATGGTAATAATATTTCACAATTTTATTGTTTTTATTGTATTTTGAATAAAATAAATTCAATTTTGGTGAGCATAAGACATCTTTCAAAAGCACTGAAAATTTGTACTCAACTCAAACTTTTAAACGATAGTGTAAGTTGTCATCATTAAAGCTTCAGTTAATGCAAACGACTGTTAGAAGGCTTCTTTGTAATTATTATTTAAGATATTTGCTTTTGAGAAGAGCAGGAAGAGGGCTTTTGATAGTGCTGAGTGACATTTAATTAATTTGAGATAACCGCTTAACTGTTTCTATGGTTGTAGTGTGAATGCATGAAAATTTTAACCTTAGTGAAGTGGGCTATTTTTGAATGCATCCTTGCAGTGTGTAGCCTATATAATGTACTTTCAAGGCCTCATGTATTATGTAATCAAAAAAAAAAGGCATTTTTGTTATTTGTGAGTTTGTTGTTCTTTTTGCCGGCTCTTTCATCATGGCGAGTGTGGTTTACCTGCTGAACAGGTAGGCAAATTTAAGAAGAATAGCTCTTGAATATTAATTAGTTCATGTTGATGCCGCTTAATCTTCGGTGTGCTCTCAGTCACGTGGTCTAATTAATATTAACAAACCAAACGTTAGCTCCAGATCCCAAGGAGGCTTATCTTCACAAAATCAAAATCTTATCATGCTGAAATTAATATTTGGCAAAGTTTCACCTCAAAACAGTTCCTCAATATACCACAGATGTGTACGTAATTATATATCGCTAGTCTTGTAATGCACATGTGAGGAACAGATTAGCTCTAAACCTGTGGGCAAATTCAAAACCATTTGTTCACTTGTTTTGACAAAGCCCTGTAATGCAGCGTAGTCCAAATCAAGCTTTTAATTTGGTTACACACCCACAGCAAAGAAAAATAAAGGAATGGGAATGGAATTCCGTGCAACCCAGATCGAAGCAGCTGTTATGTTTACATGGCAACTTGATACACAAATACAGCCTGGGTTATGGAAAGAGAGGGGCTGGGCCGGGGGTGCTGTGTTATTCTTTCAAAAGTCTGTGGTTTTTAATCAGCTCTCTTCAATCAATGTTTGTGGTGATGGACGTGCACAGTCTCAGCTTGCGCAGCAGGTGAAGGGCCAAAGGAGAACAGAGAGGAATTGCAGGTATGGCACCACTTTTAGCCAAGTGACTCACCTAAACGCCATGGTTTTACTCAAGACATGACTCTGATTTTCTCTTCCACTTTCTGGTGAAGCATCAGTGCCGGCAGGTGTTTGTAAACTGCAGCCAAGTCACCTTTATTTATATAGCGCTGTATACAATACAGATTGTTTCAAAGCAGTTTCACGGTAATAAACAGGAAAATAGCAGAATCAAACTTCATCAAATATGAGACAAATTTAAATTCGGCTGTAAAGCAGTTATTATTCAGCTGAAGTCAGTTCAGTGTCGATTCAGTTCGATAACTGTAAAGTGAATCAATTATGAAATCATTTCACTTCAGCTTTAAGCAGCTCTATAGAAGACAATAGTGTTGTTATTCAGCTCCAGTTAGTTCAAATTTTGTAAGCAAGGAACTCAATCAGGTGACAAATCTATA